GGTCCATCCCAGAGCTCTGGGAGGAAGCAGAGCTGACTGTTGCAGAGGGTGCTGCAGGATCCCAAGTCATAGATCTCACCTGCATCCCTGTTCTGAGGATGTCTGCTCTCCATGCTCATCTCCCTGGAAGGTAACAACTCCGCAGGCACTCACCTGGGAAGTGGGAGAGGTACGTTTAGCTTCTCTTGAGCACAGGGCTGGGGAGCACACCATGCTGCACCCCAGTGTTCAGCTGCCCTCCCGGCCAGGGAGGGGGCTGCCATGGTAGGGCCACCAGCAGTGCCCAAGCAAGCTAGCTTAGAGCTACCACAGGTGTATTTACTGTGTTTCGTGGAGAGGCATTTTTCCTTGTCATTATTGTGACTGATTGCACAATGCAAACAAGTGCCAAAGTTACGTGTCCCCAGCTGAGTGTGCTGACCATAGAATCATAGAATAGTTAGGGTTGGAAAGGACCTTAAGATCATCTAGTTCCAACCCCCTGCCATGGGCAGGGACACCCCACACTAAACCGTATCACCCAAGGCCTCGTCCAACCTGGCCATGCTGGTACCCAGGTGGTGCCAACTCCTTTCAGGCACTCAATAGAAATGCCATGTGCTGAACACAGGCAGGGGCACTGTCCCAAGGGCTGGGAACATCCTTTAATCTTCCTCAGCTTTTCTCTGTTTTACCATATCGTGTTTTCATCAATGCCCATTTGATTTTGTGTCCTGCTCGAGACTGGAAGAGTGATCACTGCAGAAGGGCCATGCTGCTGGTGAATGTCTTGCTTAATGTCCAATCTCATTCACAAGCAGTACTCCAGTGACCAACCAGAAAAATCAGGCAAGCAAAATTCATTGCTGCAGTATCTTATTTGAATTTGCAGATAAAGTTGTGTCTTACTTGTTAATCTGGTTTTTCTTTCCTGTAATAGAAGACTCAGAGTCCCACTCACAGATTGGTGGGACTGTGGGTACCACAAGGCAGTTATATTGCAAAAATGTTTGTTCAGAGATTTCCTTTCCAGCAAGAGAAACAGTTAAAGAAACATATTTTTAATTTCTGTTGTTTGGTTGACCGGTTCAGCTGCCTAAGAAAACAATTACAGCCATAAAGACATGGGCACACAGTTGGATACTGCAGCAGTGGAGCTGTTGGATGTCCTGCCAAACAGCACGCTCTGCACTCAGCCTCTGATGTGCTGCTAATTTAGCTGAAAAAGTGACACTGGATGCTATCAAGAATCACTCACTGCAATTTTATCATTTGGGACGAAGATTTTAGAGATAAATTTCAGAGTGGGTTCCTAGGTAAATTAAATGATTTAGAAACCCAGATAGTAATTGCTGTAGGACATGCTGTGCAAATAGGGTTTTAATATCCACACAGTGCTGGCTGCACAGTCACTGGTACCCCTGACTTCAGCTTCATGACTGAATTTTACTGGGGGAGCTTTGAACTGGGGTTGGGCAAATTTCTGGTTGGAATAAGTTAGGCTTTTTCCAGTCAAAAAATTTGGAAATATTTTTGAATCGAATTACTTTCTCAGGGAAAAACTAGAAACTCCTTGATGCTTTTTAATTTCCATTCAACATTGTTATTTCAAAAATATCATACTTATCTACAATTTAGAAATGCTACACTAAAAAAAAAAAAAGAAATCCTTCTCTTTGAACCATTCTATTGAGTAAATTGACTTAAATTTATTTTTAAGGCTAAAATATTTAATTGGAAATCCCCTTGTCCTCAAATATTTTATTATCAACCAAATATTTAGTTTCACTGAACCCAAAGGGATTTTTTTTTTGTGGTGCTTCCTGTCACTGGAACACCAAGAAATATGTTTAAAATGTTCCAAATAAATTGGAATTGTATTTTTTTTATGACTGAAGCAACACTGTTTACACATGGTGCTATGCAAACATAACATCTAATTTACAGAAGAACACATCATCCAACATCTTAACCAGGCTATTTTTCTTCAAAAATTCCAAGTTTGGGCTCTAACGTTTAATGAAATCTGTGCCTTCTCTCAGGCTGTGTCAGAAGCGACGAGGTGTTTCCTATCCGGGATGTCAGCTTTGATCTTCAGTGCATTTGAACGATATTTATCTGTATTTACCCTCCTGCCTTTGGGTGAGATTGTCACCCTGGGATGAAGTTGTCACATCAGACAGTGTTGTGTCAGGCCACAACCATGTAGCTGTAACACTGAAGACTTCTGCTGGCCTTTTTGCCACCCAGACTCTGACAACTCTGGAGGGCTGCATCAGTGCCAGATTTCCTTCTCTTGAGCTTCTGGATGGATTATTTTGTTAACAAAGCTTGCTGTGTGACCCTGCAAGGTTTTGCCTCTCTGTCTGTGTCATTGTATTAAAAAAAAAAAAAGGGAAGAAAATTTATAACCTACTTCTTTGAAATTCCCAAAGGCTTCCAGAAAAGTGCAAAATGTGATACGGTTATACTCCTTGGATATAAATTCCATTTTTTTGTTACTAAGCATTCTGCTATATGTTAGGGCACATTCTGTCTATGTGTGTGGTCACTTCTAGTGCCAGAGGGAAACATAAAATAGCCCATTTCTCAATATATATGTCCTCGGGCTATTATTCTGCATCTGACCTACAGTCTGGGTAGAGTTGCTTTGTCTGCAGTGAAGATTTCACTCTTGTGTTTTACAGCACCTGGAAGGCAGCCAGTCACTGGAGAGAGCAAGCAGGACTATGAGATACTACTGTGCGTCAGGACAGCCTTAAAATGAATGTCATTTATTCTCAGCTTTGAGAACTGAATTCCATGGGTTGTAATTGAATCTGCTGTCAGACCCATGGGGCTCAGTTCTTCAGCTTGGATATTTCTGTCTTCATACACACGGGAGATCAAAGAAGCACTTGATCATTCACTGACTCTTCTGGATGGTGATAGCAGCAAGTAAGAGAGAAAGAATAACTGATGTGAATCATTTTAACAGGCAGGTTTCATTGTGAAGGCCAGGCTCTCTCATGTTAAATAGCTATATGGTGATTGAATCTCTTCTTAAGTGATAGGCTCTATGTTGCTATTCACTGCTTAATTCACTCTGTTCTTTCCTCTCACTTTTATCAAGGTTACGTATAAATCCTGAGATATTGCTGATTGAACGACAGTCCCCAAATAGTGGAAAGTGATGCAGTGCTCCTATGAGCAGCTGTGGTGAGTTTCACTAGGCCAGTACAACCCTGGATCTTCCCCATTTGTACACCAAGTTTCCCAGCTGATAATGTGCTGTAACCTCCTCTGTCTGGTACCACTACTGTGCAGTTATTGTTTCTTTTGCTTTGCCAAATACCCGTTGTCAGCAAGAAAAATATCTTGGTTGCGACTGTAAAGAATATGCATTTGCACCAGCTGCAAGCACCCTTACATAAACACACATTTGCTTTCCTGAACATGGTAATATGCTCCCAGAGTGTTTGGATTAGGGACTTTCTAGTGTAATCAGTGATGGCAATGTGAGTGCTGTTTGAAGGCTCAGCAACACAAGCATCCCTTCATAGGGGGATTTATTTAAGTCACAGGCTAATGTATTTTTTATGGGAGGATCTGTGCTAAATTTTTCATTCAGGCATCAGGAAAATAATATTTGCGGTTTTTAAACATGTGAAGAGTTATCACTGCTAATGAGCTTTCCACCTCTTTCCTGCAATAATAACACCTTCTAAATTACATTTTTCCAGCTCAGTAAAGTGATACATTGATCTCATCCCTGTGGTGCAATGCTCGCAAAAGCATCGAAATATTAAAATCCCACAGGTGCAGGAGCAGCATGCTCAGCTAAGTAGCTTAAAACTGTCATGTGCCTTTTATTCTCAAAATGTATTTACACTAAAAATAATCAGATACAATCGCTGCTGCCTGTGGATACAGATGTACCTTCATACTGAAGTGCTTTTCATATAAGTTTTTATTCTAGGTGTTGAAGATGTTCTTTGTGGCTGTCTGAAGTGTATTGTGCTCACTAGTCTAGATATTACAGTTCTTGGAAGAATTCAGCAGTTCCAGCAGCTCCTGCTGTGAGAATATCCATTAAAGAAGAGGGAGGAATGCACAAAGCAGAGTGATGAAGTCTCATTTTTTTATTTCCTCTATCAACCCTGTCAGAAAGAAGAAATGAAATTTGAGGTCAGAGTTAGAAAAATCTGCATAAGAAGAGAAACTGAATAGTTCTACAGGATGTCTAATGCAGGCAGCGTGGTGGATAGTAGATGGGTGAAGGCGCAAAACTTCATCCACTTCCTTCTCTATGAAGTCCAGCCTTCAGGCAGTGATGCAGCAGAGAAGATGATGTGTTTATAGTGGTAACCACACAAGGTCACTGATGAAATCAAGATGGTCTTTGGTGCAGGAGTCTTTGCAGTCTCATCTCTTTGAGGGCAACCCTCAAAATATGGTGTAAGTAATGCACTTTTTTTTTTCTCTCAAAATCCACAGTAAGTCTTGAACTAATAATAATAAAATGGATGTTATATTGAGTTAAGCTTAAGTAGTTAAAAGGTGAAGGGGTGGACAAGTCACCATCATCTAAGTGAGGGAACAGACCCAGGGCTGTTATGCTGATAATGGCTTGTGCCTGCAGTAATACTCCAGGAAGGGTGAGGGGGGTCCTCATGGTGAGCCCCCGAGTGTGGTTCCTCATTCCCTACAAATTCACACACCAGAGCACCACACCTCTGAACTGCAAATAGGATATCACTACCAAAAAGTTGATGGCTGTATGTGAATAGCGCTGAACCTCCCCAGGTGCCACAGGCTGCCTGTGCCTAGGTGAAAGTCATGAAACTTACGTCTAGCTTTTGAGCTCCAGCTCTTCATCAGTGTTGGGCTTGCATGCAGGAAAAGTCACACAGCCCACATGTAATGAAAAAGTAATTGGTATTTTTGTCCTGAAAAAGTGTATGTTCTGATTGTAGCTGTTCATGTGAAAAAATGGTGAAGTAAAGGGCTGTTCTCAGAGTTAGTTAGTTTGTTTTTTTTTTGTCTCAAAGCTGCCTAGGTGTTTTCTGTGCTCCACAATTCCTGCTGGGTGGGAGAGAACAGATTAAAATGATCAGACACAGAGCTATTTTGAAAGCAGAAGCAAGTCTGCCTTTCAGCCCTGCAGTGACCGGTCATTCAGTGTGTTCTTCCTTTGCTATAGGCTCCTGTAGTTACTTTTGAACCTTTCTTGCCCTGTGGGTGACAAGGCATCTTCTTTTTGGACATTCTTGAGATCTTCAAATCAGGTAAGTTCTGAAGTTGCAGACTGACAGTGCCATGTCTTTCACCAGAACGCTATTCTTACCATGCAGTTTCAAACCAACATACCTTCTGCCTAATTGTGCTTCCTCTCAGTGCACTGGTTTATTTTACTTTACTGTAGCCAGGGCAGTCCTCAGGATGCCTCAGCCTGCAGCTCACACTCCAGCCAGCCGGCACGAGGCTACGTGCCTCTAAGCACACTGAAGTAATGCAGTGTCATGGTGCTGAAGTGATTCAGTGACTCATTTCCTGATGCTCTGTCAGATGTAGAACGTGTTACGTGTATTAACTGACACAAGACCTTACTGAATTCACCAGCTTTGTGCACAATCACCAGAAGTGAAAGCATCACAATTATGACTGTGTCTCTTCTGAAGGATTTTCTCATCTTTTCCTGTTCCCTGACTTACGAAATGGATCTCTTCTATCTGGTCTTCTAAATGTTTCATTTCAGAGTGAAATTCTGATTTTTTCATTGTACTTTTTTTTCCTGTTGGCAGAATCAGTCAGGTGAATCCAGCTGTATTCGTTACTGCTGCTCTAGATTTGTAACTTCACTTTGGGGCAAGTAAAGCGTTCCCTAAAAGAATATACCCTCATCTTTTTCAAGCTGATCTATGCCACCTTCTGGTGCTTATTATTCTATAATCTTACTCTGTTTATTTTGTTCTGTATAAATCAATGTGCTGAATCCCCTGGCACAGCTCTGGCAGACCAGCAAGGCTACCTGCTTTTTAACTGAGAGTCCAAACACCTAAAACAGAGAAGCAGCTCCGAATTTTCTAGCATGATTGTTGCTCTGTACTTGGTGGCTTTGTGCTTGTTATTCACAACAAACAAATGCACACAGATACCTACACCCTTCTTCTTCTGGTATGAGAATGCCTGAGTGTCACCCTCTGCTGCTGTTTGTGTGGTTTTCTGCCTCCTACTCCTTTGGCTGACATTCTGTACCCAGTTCTTGGTCCTCAGTCCCTCCCCGCCTCTCTTGGGGCATCTCTCTTGTGGTATTTTTTTCCTCCCCTGCATATGGTGGGATTGTGTCACTCTTCTTCTTTTCTCTAGCTCATCCCCCAGGACTCTTTTCTCCCTGCTACAAGACAGTGCTTGAATCTGGTGAAAAAATCAAACTTCCTGAGTGCTGGGGGGGCTTGTGCACTACTTCAAAACAGAGTGGAAAAAATAGCAGAGCAACACCGAGGTGAGTGGACAGAGGCAGACAGAGGGAGAAGAGCTGCTGCAGCAGTAACAGCCCTGTAGGTGCTCCTGTGGTTTGCATTGCAGATAAAGTGAGAAAAAGCGATCTGTGGCATTAAGCCTGCTCCCTTTTGCTGCCTCCCACCCATCTTTTTCTCCCTAAGCCTCTGCATTTCTTTCTTACACCACGTGTGCCTTCTCCAGTGAATGCTGATGAGAGGCGTTAGTGCAGGCTGTAGATAGGCATTCATTCTCAGCAGACGATCTTAAGTCCTTTCAAATGAGTAGTCGTTTATTGCATGTTCCTCTAGAGATGGCCCTGGACTTGGTGCTCTTTGGTACCCCAAGACAAGATAGCTGTTACTGAATGTGGCTCTTCTTTTTGGCTAGCATCCCTATTTGCTTCCAGGAAAATGAAGAGTTTATTTCAGGTTCAGTAATCCTGATGTCTGCACAGTTGAGAGCAACAGCACTTTGAGCGTGAGTGTGCATGTGTATATATAGAAACTATGCTGACTAAGGTCACTAGTTTTCAATGACTCATATTCTGTTTTTGTGGCAGCCCAGCCATACAGCAGGTTGTCCTTTTTTATCTTTTGCCTCTTTCCTTTAAAAAACCACTACACCAGAAAAGTTAATATCTAAAGATAGCTTGGAAGGTCTGTGTCTTTGTCAGGACACATGCATTCAAGTACAAGAACCTCTCTTCAGTGGCATCCCTCTTTAAATCTGCAGTACTAGCCTATTCTTACACTGGCAAAGACACACTTTTAAATTTTACATTAGGTTAGAATTATTATGAAAGATACTTGCTGGGCTGTCTTTCTGGTGGTCATCCTTATCTTCGACTTTCTCACTGCTCACTACCAACCTGGAGAGGACCGTTGGGCAAAGCCAGCTGAAGCAGGCTGTGCCTTTGTTTGACTGAGGCACTGAGATATTTCTGGTTCCCATTAGTTTCTATAATGAGGGACTTTTCCACTTTTTCTTTTTCTTCTCTGTGCTAAAGATAGGACTTGTACTGCCCAGCACTTACGGACCACAGAATCATAGAATGGTTTGGGTTGGAAGGGACTCTAAAGATCATTCATTTCCAAACCCCCTTTCATGGGCAGGGACACCTTACACTAGGTCATATTGCTCAAAATCCGCTCCAGCCTGACCTTGACCACTTCCTTGAAGACTTGGAAATTTTTGACTAATTCCTTGGAGTTAGTAAAAAAATGTCATTTGTTGGAAGAATCTGCCAAGATAAGATTCTTTAGCTTTTTTCTAATAAAAAACCAACACCTTTCTCTGACTTTTCATCCCTTTGTTTTCCTCTCCTTTACCCCACAACAACTCTATGGTCTACTACCTATTGAAAAAGCTATCGATTTTGGAACACAGATTGTTGGGAAAGGAAGCTGTTCCATTTCAAGATGTGAAGAAAGTTCTAAAATCAGATTTGATACACAAACACAAACCACAGAGGATTTGTATGTATGTGTTAATACCTGTAGCTTGCCTGTAAACTCCTCTGCTGTACGGGTGATGGCAGAGCACCACCAGCCTTCATTCATCACTGCTGGAGCAGCAGGCAGCACTCCACTGTGCTGTGAAGCTACCTCTTAGAAGCAGATCATAGATAAATGAACCAATTTGTACAAAAATAATCATCACTGGGATGATTCTTTCAGATTCATAATAGTGTATTAAATAATAATCATTAATTTGTTGTCTAGAAAAACACCCGGACTCAGCCAAGCATTTCCAGTTTCTGTAGATAGCAATTCAATTAGTATTGTGCTGGAGTTAAATCTCATGGTATTCCTGTGAGAAATTTTATTCTGTATTTATTTTCATTTTATGGACTGAGACACAGGGATGTACTTGGCTGAGGACACAAAATAAATCTATTTGAAGTTTTCTAGGAATTTTGCCATAGTTAATATCACTGGTTGAAAAACTTGAGTATAAAGGATGCTGTCAGTGTCGTCTATAGCCTAGACCTCCTCTGAACAGTTGCCCAGAGTGCAGAAATGTCCATTATCTGCTTGCACTGTTGCTCAGAAAGTTACTCTGCCTGTTCCTGCGAGGGAGAGATCTTAGAGGAGAGGAAAATGCCTCCTGATGCCCACGGATCACCTAACACCATCAGAGGCAGAACCACCTAAATCAGACCCACTTCAAAAGCCTCCTGTTAACATCTTACAGGTTCACTTGTTTTACATATTTTGTCCTTTCTGTGTTTTCCTCTGCAGGCTCATGTAAGCAAGAGTTTTGCCTGGATGCAGAAATCTGCGGTTCTTGTGACATTTTTAGGCACATCAACTGGTTCACACAGCCCTTTAGAACAGACCCGAGGCTGCAGCACATCCTTCAGTGCCTGGGCACTTGCACCATGGTAGGGGCTTAGCAGTGGAAATTTTTCTCTTTCCCAGCAGGAAAACAAAGCTTTTCTCTTGACTGAGCTCTCATGCAGTGCTGACAGCACTGGCTGGGGCGCTGCCAAAGAACAAAGGGCAATATTGTCTTTAAAAAGCAGAGAGCACATTAAAAGTTTCTAAGCTCTGTTTGTGAAAATCTCGGAGTCGCTTGATCAGGAGCTCAGAATTGGTCTGACTTCTTCCAGCCTCCCCACTTCACCCTCGTCTGTGCGATATTGCAGCTGCTCTGAGGAAAAACAGTTATTTAAAAATGTGCTTGTAGCTATGGCAACCTTCATGCACTGCGTTCAACCAAAACTCTGAAACAGCAGCAGAAGTTTCTTAGCAGGGTATTTATGAAGATTTTTGTCTTTGTACAATTTAAAATGGAAATACTCCAGTTTTAAAGAGGGGGGTTATCAAAATCTCATTAATTTGGGAATAACATTTTTGTTGTGGGAGCTGCTGCTTAGCTCTTCTTTTTGTGGTTCTGAGGTTTTTTTTTTGGTTGTGGTGTTTTTTGGGTTTTTTTTTTAAGATTCCCCTGATTTCTTGAACTCTTCAGAGCCTAAGACCTGGGGCACTTTCCAGCTCGCTGTTCCTCCTGTCTGTACCTGCGCTCCTGCTCTCTCTAGCAGATGGCTAGTTTTGCAGTGGTGTGGTGGAACGACAGTGGTGTTGGGATCAGGCTGGTGGGGATGGAGCATTGCCACGGATCCCAGACTTTGCCTTCCATTGGAGAACCCAGGTGATTTAGTTAGCCCTTTGCCCATGCAGTTGCCTGGTTGCCTGCTCCGAGAGAAGCAAATAGATGTGCTTGCAGTTAAGTTATTTGGTGCCTCCATGATATTTCAAAATTTCTCAAAGACACCGACTTTCAGGGTATACTCAGTTTCTCTAGGTACAGTCACAGTAGACTACTCGCAGACAACTCAGTTTTGCTGGCAGCACCTTAGTAGAGTTACATTTGCAAAGTTGCTATTTTTCCTTTTCTTTTCCTCCCTCTTCTTTTTCTCTGTGCATTCACACCTTCAAAATCATCAGGATAAAATTAAGGAAGCCTTGCTGAGACGTACACGCTGCTGCCCTAAACCCCCTTGAGCCATGATGATATGTTCTGGTGCCTCCGAAGTGTGGATTAAGTCTAATTAATACTGTTTCTTGATCAATGGTCTTGACACAAACGCATCGAAGGGATTTATGTAATTACAGATGTAACAGCAAGGGCTCTTTTGCTAGGAACCTCTCAGGGCTGCGGCAGGGAAGTTTGCTCCTAGTGATGGGGTTTTGGCCTCCAGCCACTGTAGGTAAGTGTCTGCTCCATCACTGCTGTGCAGTTTTTTGCCTGGGCAGGTTTGAAGCTACTGATTTGCACTGGAAGATGCCTTAGGTGTGGACAGGCACATTCCTCAGCTAACACACATTTGTATAACTGAGCATTGGTGCCTTTTGTCCATACCAACAGGATTATTCCTGACCCATATAGTGAAATGTTCATTTTTTGATATGCTTCACAACAGGTTATAATGAGCCAGCTGAGGAGGTGTTATCAGGGTAGTCAAAGAGGATTGTATTTCTTTATTCTAACCTGTAGAAAAAAAGAGTTGAATTGATCTCATTTCTCACAATACATCTAAGAGAAAACATTCAAGGGATGTGAAACATTCAACACTTTCCAGCCCTCCCACTCTGCATTCTGGATAACTGATGTTGTGTCCACCCTCCTTCTGGCACAATGGACATCTAGTGTCTAATCCATACACCACATCAGTTGCTGTGATCAGGTGAGAGAGAACCAGGACATAGAAGAATATATGCCTATTAGATAAGCAGGGCTCCAGAAGGGGAATTGCACTACTGCAAACAAAAGAGATTGAATGATGAAACTTTGCTGTCCATTGATTGTGCCACACCAACTACACTTCATTCAGGGCTGTGAATCTCTAATGGAGACGGCAAAAATTGCCAAAGGGGCTGGAGTTGTACCTGTATTCTGGTTTGATAGGAAATTGGCAGAATCAAAGAAAATAAGGCTGAATAGAATCTGAAGGAATCCTCTAGTCTAGATCATGCAATGTGCTGGGAGGCATTCATAGACATCAAGGAGATGTAGGCCTTGGGTTCAGGACTGGATCCAGGCTTCATCAGTTTCATGTTTTGAAATTTCCCTATCACTGTACAACCACATATCAAAGGGTTTGCAGAGCCCTGCATGCCTTTAGCATGGAGGTCAACACGCAGGAAGGAGAGCTGAGGTGTGCCCATCCTTCACTATCAGCGAAGCATGAAATGGGCTGGAGGTACAGGGCTGCAAAGACATCGTCTGGTCATGTACATCCTCTTTTCTGCTAGGTCTGATGCAGAAAATAACCTGGTGAGCCCCGAGGACTAAAGCTCTTCTGCTTTTTCTGGAAAGTGCCATGTGCAGCACGCAAGCACAGAGAGCTCTGTCTGCTGGGGACACGTCAGGATCCATGCCAAACCATGGATTAAAATAGCATTAACACCATCTACTTCAGGACATTGTACTCGGGCAGTCCTACCATCAGCTAAATCTTTCTGACTTACAACGAAAATATTATTCTCAGTGTGCATAGAGGCAGTCAGAAAGTTGCGTTAGAAGCTCTAGCATGCCATGGTGTGTTTTTCTGGTTGGTTTGTGGGGTTTTAAGTCAAATTGGTTTCTTTCAGCGGTTGGAGAAAGAACACAATTAGAGGGCAAAAGACAGGGAGTGATGCTGGGATGATTTGCTTCAGTATATGTTAACTTGCAGCTGGCAATCCCCTTTGCTTAGATTTCATTTTAATGGGAATTTTCTCAGTCACTGTTTGAGATGAGAAGATGTGGATAGATCTTTTTCAGCAGTTCAGTGCTTTTAGCTGCAAAACTGTAATGGAATGAAAAGTGCAGTTTGGAAAGGAACCAACAGTGTTTGTTTTGTTCTGCAGTTTCCCCACTATTGAAAACATGAAAACAAACTCTAACAGCAGCTCACAACTGGAAGGAATTAACCAAGTAAATACAGGAGCTGCAGCTTCTGAAAGCTGCTTTCAAAAACTACGTGAAGGAACCACTGAATCCCTGCAGCTCCTCAGCACCCATCGGTTGGGCTGCTGCTGCCAGAGCAGCTTGCTGCTGCTGGCATTGCTCTCACCTGTGGCACCAATGGCTCAGTGGAGCTGCCAGGACAAGCTCTTGCAGGACACCTTACATTGAAATAAAGGTACAAATATTTATAGGAGCCTTCAAAAGATCTGTCTGTCACCCACCTGGCTTCCTTTATTCAGATACAATGTGCTGTTTCCAACAGAACTAGTCCTTCTCTAGTTTAATGTGTTGAGGTTTCTAAGACCCACTGCTCTCCATCATTTTACAGGAGCTCTCCAGCAAATCTGGTGTGTCAGTAGCTTTGAAATTAGTCTATGTATATTTGCTTAGTTGATGTTTAAACTTTCACCACTCCATCCTGGCAAGCTCTGGACTCCTATTTCTACCATTTGGTTTTACTTTCCTTCAGGGATTTTTCTCTTTCCCCTTAATCCTGCAGCTTGCATCCTCAGGAAAACAAATTAAATACATTTTAAAAAGTGCTCTGAATTTCTGCTTAAATGAAACCATCTCCTATAAACCCTTTCTGAGGTCCAACAAATCTTGTGATAATGCCTCTGATGCAAACTCCTCAAAATTGGCTGAGAAACTGAAAAAGTGCATATTTGCTTGAGCAGAACAAATATTTATAGGAGCCTTCCAAGCTCTGTCTCCTGCCATCTGGCTCTGCCGCAGCGGAGGCGCTGGAGCCTTCCCCTCGCCTACACGTGCAGGGGGGGAGCGGGGCACAGCCGCGGCTGCACTGCCAGGCATTAACTGTGTTCAGTGCATCGGGGCTTTTCCTCCCTCTCCTCTGCAAGAGAAGTTGCTAGGCTCGATTTTCCCATTAGAGGGCAGGAATGTAACGGCGAAGAGCGGCGGAGCGGGAAAAACCCGCTTTTAGTTTCATAAGGGAAGGGAAGTGAAGGGAAGGGGAAAGGATGCAATCAGGGTGTGGGCATCTAGTGATATAGGGTGCTAAGTGTCTGTCAAGCATTTTAGGGGGAGAGAAATAGAGAATGAACCCCTGCCAGTTAATTCTAGAGGTACAAATAGTGGAAGAGGAGGTGTGGTGTTCCTCAGGGTTGCTTATTGGCACTGGTGTTGCTCACCATCTTTGCCGGTGACAGGGATTGAGCACCCTCAGCAAGTCTGTTGATGGCACCAAGCTGTGTGGTGCTGCCAACACTCTGGAGGGAAGGGATGGATCCAGAGGGACCTTGACATACTTGAGAGATGGGCCAATGCCAGCCTTTTGAAGTTCAACAAGGCCAAGTGCAAGGTCCTGCACCTTGGTCAGGGCAATCGCAGGCACAAGTATAGGCTGGGAGGAGAATGGGTTAAGAGCAGCCCTGAGGAGAAGGACTTGGGGGTGTTGCTCGATGAGCAGCTCACTATGACTTGGCAATGTGTGCCCGCAGCCCAGAACCACCCCACCCTGTGTGCTGGGCTGTCAAGGGGATTCTCCCCCTCTGCTGTGCTCTGGGAACACCTCCCCTGCAGTCCTGATCCAGTTCTGGGGCAGCAGCACGAGAGGGATGTGGAGCTGTTGGAGCAAGGCCAGAGGAAGCAATGGAGATGCTGCAGGGGCTGGAGCAGCTCTGCTCTGGAGCCAGGCTGAGAGAGCTGGGCTGGGTCAGCCTGGAGAAGAGAAGACTCCTGAAGGGGAGACCTTAGAGCAGCTCCAGTGCCTAAAGGGGCTGCAGGATACCTGGAGAGGGGCTTGGGACAAGGGCCTGTAGGGACAGGACAAGTGGGAATGTCCTTAAATTGAAAGAGGGTAAATTTAAATTAGATATAAGGAAGAAATTCTTTGCTATGAGAGGGTGGTGAGACACTGGCATAGGTTACCCAGAGAAGCTGTGGCTGCCCCATCCCTGGCAGTATTCAAGGCCAGGTTAGGGCTATGAGCAACATGGTCTGGTGGAAGGTTTCCCTGTCCATGGCAGGGGGCTTGGAGCTAGATCTTTAAGGTCCCTTCCAACACCAACCTTTCTAGGATTCTATGATTTTGCTTTAAGGATATTAGTTTTAGCAAACAACTCCAGGTGGTATTGGAACAAGGGGTAAAGTTAGTAATGGGGTGTTCTCAAAACTAATACTTCCACTGACTGGCACTGGGAATTTGTCTCATCCCTTTCCTGGACTCTGCAGGACAAGAAATTCAGCGTTCCCAGGCTTGTTAAATCAAAATAGTTCTGCAGTTGCCTTTGCTTCAGGGATTGCCTGTTTGCACAGAAGATTTTTCAGCTGAACCCCAGG